TTATGCTAACTTTACTCAGCATGAAATTATTCCAATCCTTCTTACAGCCGCAGTCGTTTCTTTTACTCCCGGTATCCCCCGTAGTAGCAGTTTTAATTAATCAAAGAACGTAATCGTCATTTTCGCTGGACAGTCGCCCATTAACCACGATCTGCTAACTGAAAGGATTAGTGCCTTGCTTAGGGGCACTCCCGACAAAGCGAGTGTGCGGTGCCGCCTTTCTGTGCAGAGGAAATAAATGAAAGGAAGACAAGGCTCAGTGAGAGACGCTGGCCTGCGTGTGCGGCTGTGTGCATTTAGTTATCAGGGGAGCACAGCATAGCTCTGCTCAGATTAAATTCCCAGAGCTTACTCTGACTATCAGCATTACTCCAGGACACACACACACACACACACACACACAGAGAGAGAGGGAGAGAGAGAGAGAGAGAAGGAAAGCTGAGTGGTAGGAAAGAAAGCTGCCATCACTACATTTTCATTCAGAGAAAATATCAACATTGACAGTTCGCCTGCCACTGCCATCACTCCTGCTAATAATCCCTACCAATCCCACCCAGTTTATCGGTAGTCCCATCAAATCTTTTTTTCCTTCTTCATTTCAATTTGGGGAAATATGGCTTCACTGTAAGACAAACCTGGAACTCAAAACTGAAACGACACCATTAAAGCAATTCTATCAAAGTGACATTGTTTGGCTGTTGTGGATAACAAAAACCAGGCTGGTAGACTCGGTTCCATCGGGGACCAAAACAGCAACGTTTGTTACGATTTCAGTCGCTTTGGTTCGCGAACCGAACCCTGTGAAAAATGTGTTCCTCCTCCCCGCCTGTGGTGGCGCTGCACAGAGAACCACCGAAGGAAACGACTCAAAAACGTTTCAGCGCAACGTCCTTCTTGACGTAAATAAGTAGGCAGATTGCAGCAATTGTTCCCAACTCTGCGATTTCAATAGTTATTTTTAATGTTTAAATGAAAAAAAAAAAAAGAAAATCAATCATTTGTGTCGTAGGACAGAGATAAAAAATGGCACTTTTGTCAAAGTTTCTCGACCTCCATTACTCTGTCTGTAATATTCACACTATCTTTTTGATTAGACAAAATTTAATACAAGAAAAAGTTGTACCTCAGAAATAATTTTTAACTGCCTCATGGGGATAAATAAAGGTTAAATAACTACCTGAATAAAAACTGCTTTTTCCCTCACAGGCTTTTAAATTTGCAAATGCTACGGCTTACAAGGTCAGATCAGAGAAACAGTGTGAGCTAGCAAGCTAACCTGCACATGTAGGTGCATTCTCTGCTGCATGCTGGGATATAAATCTTGGATGTGTTAATTACCTCATGCGACCTGATTTCCTCCATGTGAAAGTTTAGCATGCGACAGACGGATACAGAGGCGGTGATCCATCACATGGGACCGCAGAGATAGGTGTGTGTGTGTGTGTGTAGTGTATGCGAGCGTGTTTGTAGTAGTGACAGCGCTGTCAGTTCATCTTTCTGCATTGACAGATAACGCACATGTCAACCAGCCAAGCCAGCACACGTAAAACGATCCCATCCACGTTCCCGGCGCGTAAACACCTCGGCCCGTCAATCACTGCGTCTGGAATTCCCTCCGCTTGCTCGTCCCTTTCAACTCCTTCCCTCTTCCCGTTCCACCTCCCCCCTCCCCACCTTTCTTCTCCGTCTTTCATCATTCTGTTATTTTTCTTTCCTTTTAAAGAAACTGTCTGCTGCCCTGAAACTGGGTCTTTTTTCCCTCCCTTGGGTACTCTGTATGTTTTTTTTTTCCCTTCCTCCCTCTCTCTATTTCTTCTCGTCGCTTCGCTCTTCCTCCCTCCCACGCACATCTTGCTGATAGATTAAATGTTGAAGGCGAGGTCTTGTAGTGGAAAAGAGAAAGTCTCTTTTAATTGCACCGATCCCTAATTAGTCGGCCCGTCTTCGTCTCCTGGCACTGGATGTGATGAAACAGGAGGCCCCTCTCCCGGGTCAGCGGGTCACCGGCTCGTGTTGTCGCACACTCCCGCGCGTCACTGTTTTTCTCCTCCGGGGGAGTTCACCTTGGTTGCCGGTGCATGCGTCTCTCAGTGGAGACTGGATGTTTGGTTGGGCGGCAGAAGGAGCGTTTTTGCTAAAAATACATGGTTATGTAAGGAAAGTTTCAGCACCCTCTCTATTCCCTGCAGGCCAGTCTCCAATGGTTCCAGTAGTTATTACATTTCCTGCTTTCATACGTCTTTCAGTGTGTGTGTGTGCGTGCGTGTGTGTGTGTGTGTGTGTGAGAGCGAGCGTTTGATTTTTCATCAAAAGAGACACACAGTGGTGAACTACTGAGTGCAATGCAGAAATCTGTGACAATTCAAAGCAAATTTAAACGGGAAATTGGAAACAGGCGTCGACCATGTGACCTTTGAGTTTTGTTTTGAATATATATTTTGTGGTATTATTATGCTTTCAATAAAATTCACTTCCTTTTCACTGTACGGTGGATACTGCATTTCATCGTGTCACGAACACTAATACTGTTACTAAACATTCCCATTTAATATAGTTTTCTTCAGGACTCCGCTTACTCAAAGAACTGCATGTAATCCTGTTTGAAAATGTACTTTTATTTATTTAGGTCCGTCGCATAAAGCGTTTCTGAGTGCCTCTTTTAGCATTATGAATTGTTCCAATCCGTATCCATGTAATTAAGCGTGTTCCTTTGCTCTGAAAACACTGCCTAACGTTCTTTGGAAATTAATTGCGCCAAAATCAGATTGGACACCGATAAGACACGGATCGCCCTGAACTCCCTGCTAAGCCTTTCGCCGCATGCTTTGTGTGTGACAAACACAAAAACCTACGCAACTGCTTTTAGTGCACGACCCCCACCAGTGCTTAAATAACACCAGTTCATTCTGATTCGGAACAGAAAAATCTGTTTTCCAGAAAGTGAGTTGAAGTGTGGCTTTTGTAGAGCAACGACCAGGCGGAGTAACCGACGATCATATTTATGTCTTCAGAGGGTTTTACTTTGGATCAAACTCATTCAGCATGTAAACATTCGCATGTGAATGACATTAGTTAAATTAATGAGACGCTGCAAAGGTAGAGTGACCTTTAACCTCCTAAACTGCTTTCAGCTGAAACCAGAGATAGATTCACATACACAGAATAAAAAGACATACATCTATTTTTTTTTCTCACTGTCTGAAGTTGAATAAAACCAAACGTCTCTTGTTTTAGCTCAGTTAGAATCACCCAAACTCTTTTTTATTTGCTGAACATTGGAGATGTCAGAGTTGGATTCATTAATGTCTTCAATATCAATAGTTTACATACAGAATCATCACTGTCTATTTAAACAAGGAGGGAAAACCCAGATGACAGCGTCGTTTCTTAGGAGTCTTCTGATATTTTAACTGAGACATTTAACTGAGACACACACCTTTGGACTTATTTAAAAATCACGATACGATACGATAATTAGGAACAACCTCCGGATGTATAAAGGAGCCACATTTATACACAAGCGTAGTCAAAATTGAAATGTCCAAATCTGTCAATCAATCCAAGAGCTAAAACCAAAGACTGTTTGGAAGATTCTGCTGAAAGTGGTAAAGCAGCTGGTGCTGACCTGGACTGAAAAGCCGCTCTGCACGGAGGAAGCCATGACTCCAAAACAACAGCCTTCCTTTTCTGGAGACCTGTCCTGTAGCCGATGACACTAACGTGAAACAGTTAGGAAATAATATCCTTCATTACATCTGGGAGAAAAAATGTGACAAAATATGAAAAAATGGCAGCGCCATGCCAGCTGTGAAGAATGGAACTCCAACTTTTTAAAGTCAATATTGAGAAATTATTTACTTACAACAGTCTCTTATATCTTGTTGAAAAGTTTTTTGTCTTATTTCAAATGTGCTCAGATGTTTGCATAAGAAACTGGATCAAGAAACACAAAATCTTCCCAGGTTTTGTGTTTTTGTGGTGAAAGTGGTTACAAAGTGGCTTCAGGACAACCACGCCGACGTTTTGGCATCACAAAGCCTCGTCATCAGTTTGCCGGAGTCGGCGTGTGTGTGAGTGAACCCTGACTCAGTTCCACCGGTTCAGTCTGAACGGGCCAGAACTCCAGCAAACCGCTGGTTCTGAGAGGCTTCTGGAAGGAAACCCAAAAACCCGAGTCTTACAGTACAAAGCCAGCGCGACCAACACTGAGGAAATGTATTCAGATCTTGAAGACATTAGTAAATAAATGTCAAACATAATCTTTCTTTCATCATTGTCGTATTTAGCAAATAGAAATAATTTCGGTAATTCTGGCAGCTTGTAAACTTCTGCTTTTTTGACTTTTTAAAAGTAGAACGCATTATGACATGTTCACAACTATCATCCTCATTTGCCTAATCCATTCTTGGAGGTAAAAGTACCAGCTGAGATAGGCGCCGTCGCTGCGGGGGTGTGAACGGTCTTCTGGTGGTCAGCAGACAGGGGGGGGTGGAAATACGTCTAGACTCCCTTGAAAGCATTTTCGATTAAATTCCTCCCCAAAAAAAGCCTTCCAGAAAAAGCCCCTTCCACATTAATTAAAAAAAAAATCCCCTCCCACACTGACATGAAACTTTTTCTGTCTGATTAAAGCCCAGCTGGCATTTAATCGCAGGTCAAACGGCTCTGCAGGACTTGTGGCTTTGGCTTTGACCTGCGGTGGTGGAGGCGCCGCTGCCAGGCAGACCGGCTACCTTTCACTCATTGGTACTCCACAATGAGCTATTTATCAAAGACTATTGTTAAAGTCTTCACTTTCAGGATGCTTTGGACCTCCTGCCGGGCCTGACCTTTAGTCTCGTTATTGTCTCTGGTTGCGGCGTTTGAGTGGAATTTGACATTTTGCCGGCCGGCGCGTCAGACGTCAGCGGCCCCGTTGTTCCTGCGTTTACCCGTGAACGCCATGACGGGAAAAAAAAACCGGCTCACGCTAACGAGCTTCTGTCCTCGTGTCTTTGCAGCCATCTTGAGTCGGAGCGCAGCGCACTGAAGAGGAGAGAGTGGGAGAGGAGGAACCAGGAAGTCCAGCAAGATGAAGACTTGTTCTCAACCGGATTTAACCTCTTTGGAGAACCGTATAAAGTAAGAGCAAAAAAAAAAAAAAATCAAATAAAAAACCCTATAAGTTTTCTTTGTTTGTGTTTTTCTTACCTCTTTTCTATTGTGACGGATCTCTTCCTCAGCTTCTTAAACTCTACAACTTGTATGGCGTAAAAATAAGAGATGATGCCGGATAATGTACAAACTTTCATCACCGTCACATAAAAACCTTACATGAATCGAAACCAGCTTTCTCGAAGCAGGTTTCGATTTAACTTCAGCTCGCAGTCTTCTCCTTTAGCGTTTTAAAGCCTGATGACATTAACATAATCATGATTTTTGTGCTTTTTTTAATACACGGGAAACCATTTTAAACTCATTGCCTTGTTTTCTGAATTTGCTTGTATCATAATTAATACATCAGGTTTATGCACTCATTTAATCATCATGACCAATATGACCTGTTTTGTGACAACATTGTGTGATACTTGAAATGCATTGATTGCTTTTACTGATTTAAAGACATATTTTTACAACATGTTTACTCGATACAGAATTTTTTTGTTTGACAAAATCCTTTGTTAGGGAAACGATCGCATGAAAAATGATGCATTTGGTGTTAGAGAGTTAAATATAATGACGCATTAGGGTTGTTATAAAAAGAAATGGGAAAAAAAATTAGTATATTTATTCTCAGACTCAAAGTTTTTTGGAAAGAAATGGGAGATATCAGTTTTGAAAGTTTAACAATTTTAAGCAGAAATGTTTTGTTTGTTTTGTGTTTCTAATTGATATGTTTCTTTTTTATAATTGCATATTTTTCTTCCTTTCCAAATGAAAATCTTACTATACAACACATGAAAAAACAACAACTAAGAGACCACTTAAAATGATCGGTTTCTCCCATTTTACATTTTCGAGGTTCATGTTTGAGTAAAATGAAAATTGTTTTTTTTTTTTTTATTCGAATTACTGACAGCCTGTCTCCTAAATTCGAAGCAAAAAAATTTAGTGTTTATTTGCAGAAAATGAGAAATGGGCAAAATAACAAACAAACAAAAAATATGCAGAGCTTTCAGACCTCAAATAATGCAAAGAAAACAAGTTCATATTCATTTAGAAACAACAACACTAATGTTTGAACTCAGGAAGAGTTCAGGAATAACCAGGAGGTTCTGCATGTTCTCCAGAGCTGCAGGTTGTCTGAACTAATGTGAGGGGAACCAAACTCACTGTGAGAGATGGGGGGTGTTGACTTAAGGAGACAAGTATTAGTTCAATGGTCTGCACGCTTACTTCACCCATAAAGCAAAGGAAATGTAGCAGGTAGAAACCTTTATCAGTTCTGACTTATTATTAGACCGCAGACACACACAACTGTCTTCGTTAGCTTGTCGCTTTTAGAGTTTAAACACATAAAATGGACAGAAATGCTTTGTCATTGTTAGCAACGAGTAGCGTCACAACACCTCGGATGTAGCTTCATTCCCAGATCGACTCTAAGACTCCAAATGAAACTCCTCATTCAGATTTGTGAGAAATTTGGGCTGTTTCGCTTCCACGTACTCGAGCTAACGACATCTCAGCCACATGGCTAGCTACAAATCACACGACAATGATAAAATATAAATAATAGTCGCCTAAACAAAACTTCAAAAGCAAAACGCGTTCTGAAATAACACGTGTCTCTGTAGTTTAGTAATCTAGTGTGTACGTGTTTGAATTTAAGGGATAACAGGGAGCCTAAAGCTAGGATGGGGCAACAAGCTAACCGCCATAAGTCTTCCTCATCCATGTTTCCAGCCTTCCTGAGCTGGACGACCGAGAGAGCTGCTTTCCCCACATGCGGTGCTCTCTTATTGCTGACGGGGAGACAAGTTTGTGCTGCTGATTTATCTCTGCTGGAGAAGAGCTGAATATACCTGACTCCACAATTGAATTCAGGGGAAAGAGACCAAGTTTACAACACCTTAATCAATTAGGGTAGGCTGGACTCCTCCAAGACCGCTGCTCTGTGATTTAGGCTGACATAAAGTCGCTCCGCCTGCTGTAAATTATCATTTGAAAGGACTTAATACAAACATTAATGCGAGTCTTCTGTATTGTTGAACGTTGTTCTGTGGATGTGATTGTTTCTCATCCTCTTTTTTCCCCCCCCGAGGCTAAAATATGAAACCGTTCTACACACAGTTGTATACTTGTTATTTTCAGATACCTTTTTCCCTTCTTTCTTCTGGTTTACAATTTTCTTTACCAAAATGTAAACCAGACATGCATGAAGTCCCCGGGCACTGTGCGGCCCCCTCTGTGTAAAATTGATTTTGGCTTGTTAACTCTCATTAGCTTCCACCAGGCGCTTCGACACTTGGTTAGTCCAGAGCAGCTTTGAGTCTTGACAGAATTTGCGCTAACCTGCTGTGTCCAAACACAGAGGATAAGAGGGTTTCTTACCGAGATGCTCCTCTGGGCTCGGGGGGTCAGTGGAAGCAAATGAGAGGTTGCTCTTCTGATAATGAATCCAATTCTAGGGGCCTCCACACTCCTAGTAATCGTTTCTAAGCCAATTAACTGTGAAGACGTAAGGTCAAGATCGGTGCGTAGGAGAGAGGAGGGTTGTGTGTGTGGCCTGGTCGGTGTGAGGTACCACTGCTGCATGCTGGCCTCTGCAAATAGAATGAATTCAAGTCAGTTGTACACAGGTAGGCTACGTTTCCATCCAGTTGCCATGCTAATTTTGAGCTAACTTTTAAAATGTCGCCACAAAACAAAGGAGATATAAATTGCGGGGTTCCCATCGACTGGTTTGGAGCGTGATTGTGTAATTTCAGGTATTGACGTCACGCACCAAACAGGAAGTAGAGGTTGAAACCTGGCAGGGGCCCATTTTTCAGAAACGGAGGAAAATTTCTGGATCAAGATGTAATTAGTCTCTCATGGCAACCATCTTTGGCGATGCTGCGTCCCGTTCGCTGTAGATCCAGGGTTATGTAAATGCCACAAGGAGGATCATAGAGCAGCGAGTCAATTTCACATCAGCTCAAAAGGCTAATAAATAGATTTATGAACATGAAAATAGAGGATATCACTACTGTCATTTCAGTAGTGAATGACAGTAGTGATAACTTTTACCACGCGGTCGGTTTATGGACATCAAGATTTCCAACTCCTATCCAGTGAGGAAGAGGCAGCCACCACCATTTTCCCACTCCTTCATGTCCATCTGTGGGCTTTTTAACAACTTTTCTGACTAAAAGATTTTCTTTATTTTTATCTCCATCAAGTCTGCTGCTAATGATGGACCAGTCTGCCTTTTTCTGGCATGCAGAAATGTTTTACTGCAACACCAGTTTTAAAGTCCCTCCACTGGCTCCCTGTAGCTCAAAGAATAGATTTTAAAATACTGTTGTTAGTTTATAAATCACTGAACGGTTTAGCACCACAATACATCAAAGATCTGCTGTTGTTGTATCAACCTTCCAGACCTCTCAAGTCTTCTGGTTCTGGTTCTGCTCTGCATCCCCAGAACCAGAACCAAGAGAGGAGAAGCAGCTTTCAGCTTCTATGCACCAAAACTTTGGAACAAACTTCCAGACAACTGTAAAGCAGCAGAAACCCTGACTTCTTTTAAATCGCAACTAAAAACACACCTGTTTAGAATTGTTTTTGAAATGTAACATGTAACAATGTATTGTCTATTATATGTTGCATGACTTTGTGTTCTTGTGTTTATGATGTAAAGCACTTTGAAATGCCTTGCTGAAATGTGCTATACAAATAAAATTACTGTCTTTAAACAACTAATTCCACCACGGAGATGTGAATAAACAATACTACTTTTTAACTGGATTTGTAACATGGCAACTTTTAGCAACGCTAAGCCTAAAACCAAACGGCCTGAATTTTGGCATTAGATCTAATTTGCAGGAAGCAAAGAGGCAGTTCGCTGGTAATACGCTGCTGCACAGAGGTTTTTAGGTTCCTCATTAATTACAGTCATTAGCTGAACAGGGAAGCTGTAATTGAAAAGAAAATAATTCTGATAAAAGGGAACGGGTCACTGCATCATTCATAGGGGACAACTTGTTTACTCGTTTCATATGCCCGCCTCATTTCCAACTGTTTGAAGAAAATGTCCGCACATTTCTGCAGTTTGTACCTCGCTGCTCGCCATTTTCTTCCACTGATTTATTTACCACACAGAAATGTCTATTTTTTTTCTCCTTTTATTTTTTCATGCTCACTTTGTTTGATCAATTCACAGTTTTTTTTTTTTGTTTGTTTGTTTTTTGTTTTGTCCAACCGGTTCCTGCTCTGCGTTTAAGTCCGAGCTCCTCTTTCACATCAGCTCGTTTTAGCTGTCGAATATTGGATCCGTGGAGCCCGGATGGCCCCTGCTTTCTGTTTTTAGTTGTTGTTGGGGTTTTTTTTTCTTTCGTTTTTAACCATGCGTCTGTCACTTCTGTCTTTTTCTTCTCCTCTCTCTCCCAATGTTCATTCTCTCTGTCAGCTATTAGCTAATCCCTCTTCTAATCCTGTTAAGGAGCGTTATGCTGTTAGCAGCTATTTGGGATGATCTATTCACACACTCTTGAACACACACACACACACACACACACACTAAAGTCATACATAGGTATTCATCCTCTCTCTCTCTCCTCTGTTTTCCATTTTACCTCTCTGTAAATGTGTTTTCTGTTCCTCTTCAGCCACCAGATCTTTTATTCATGAGCCTGAGATGGAGACGAGATGGGCTAATTTATTCACAGCTAACTTGGGCTCTCCACAGTGTCTAGTGTTTGTGTGAGTGTGTGTGCACAGCAGCGACTTCTGTTCGGATTATTTCAATGCTTTTCCGTCAGTTCTGATGTGCGTCGCCCCTAAATGCGTCTTGATCGCTTCCTTTCTTCCGTTTATTTGCGCGTTTGGAGTTTTTCTCGTTTTATTAGAGGCGAAACGATGCAGAGGAAAGACTTGATGGGACAGATTAATGATGTTTATCGGCGTTCCGCCTTCTTGATTAGTTATCTTGAAATCTGTTTGGGAATATTTCACTCCTGTTATCTTGTTGTACCATTTTTTTTTAGAAGGTTATTTACGGCCTTTGTGTTTCAGGTTAAAAAAAAAAAGAATTTAAAATAATTACTGACCTGTTCATCTGATTTTTTGAAATTCAATTTCTGTCCAAGCTACCCCATAAAAATATTAAATAGTAAATATTTCTTATTGATTACTTTATCAGGGGTAGAGGCAACGTCACCATGAATGAAGCACTGTTTTACTAGCTTTAGCTTTAGCTTTAGCGCTGTTGGTAGGACTAGCAAAACCGAACTGTTGTCTATGAGAGCTGACCTACAGAAGACCGAAAATAACTCTGAGATTCCCAAGAGACTCCCTACACTTCACGAATCCAGCGCCTTTAATGGCTGGCTGAGGTTGAAAAGCAAACAGATAAAATGGGTCGACTGTGTAAGAACACAACGCTCTGTACAACATGCAGAAAATACAGTTTCCTTTTAAACAACTCACAGTTCTGCTTAGCTTCGGCGACGTTGCTTTCAAAAATCTCACAAGTACTTGACACTTTTTGGCTGTCTTCTCACAGTAACAACTTCCAAACTGAAGAGTGTTGTGGTCAGTGCCAGTTCAAGTTTCTTCTTCAAATCAAACAGAATCGTTGTCACACGTTTGCACAGCGAAAACTTTCGTTTGTGCCACTATCTTTTTGAAGATACTATTCCAAATGTCTCCAGAGGTTATCAAAGGTCAAAGCAAACCCCAGTCTCCACCCTCACGCACACTTATAAAATCAAACAAATTTGGCATCAAATCAACTGTGTCTGTAAAGGTTTAGCTGCACAAACCTGATTTTCTGTTCTGTGACCTCTGGAAACTTTTGTCTTTTGCGCCGTTAAAATTTGAAAGATGGTAACGGCACAAACAGATTTGCTGCCGCACAAACATTTGATACCGTTTCCATGCAACGTGAAGAGGGCAAAAAGGTCAACTTCCCTCAGGGTGATTTTGGAGTTTGGACCTTGTTGGTCACCAGTCAGCCAAGAAAAGTGGAACATTTGTTCTAGTTTCCTCCCCATTAATTACCCTTTTTATTTATTTCAGCTCCCAAAGATGTTCTCTCAATTTCAGATTTTGCTGTTTTGTTAGTGTTGGTTTGCTATCATAACCTTTGTTTGGCTCTTGATTTGTTTTCTTTCCACTGAGTGTATTTACAGTGTTTTAAGAAAGTGGCACGGTCAATACACCAAGCAAAATTGCTTTTACCCCTAATCTGCCAGTATTGGTGAAGATTGGTCATCATGGTGCAAACAAAATAAAGCATCATGATTACACTTCCCCACCCCCCTCAGCCCCATCCCACAGAGTCCAATATGTCCTTTACTTTGTCCATTACACCAAACCATTACCATTATCAAACTATTACAGACGTCCCCATTATCCTCAGTTATGTGCTAATGTGCAAAACGTCTCATTTTTGCAAACAGAACAAATACAAAAAAAAAAAGGCCTGCCAAACACGCGGGCTAGCGGCGCAGTGCGAGCATCGTTACCATGGTTTCCTCTCCCTTCCTCTCTCTCTCTGCTGCTCCGTGCAGATCCGCTCGTTTTCCGCCGAGGCATGTTAAAACCAGAACACTTTGTGATTTCTGCTCCACCTGGCTCATAAAACTCATGTCAGAACAATTGCTTGGTGAAAACAGAGCCCAGAAACTTGTGATCATCACGAAACGCAGCTTAAATGGCCCTCGATTACAGCCAATAGTGCCATGGTGGTATGATCAGTCGTAATGTCGTGAAGTGTTTGCTGTAACACACACACACGCATGCTTAGAATCCCCTCCTCAGCAATGAGCCCTCTCCATGGATCATTGCATGTTATTACTCTATTATTTGGTTATTGACTGAAGCCGTTTGCATTGGAACAACAAAACCACACGCTCAACGCTCACCTCGAGGAAAAACAACCATCGACACATCAGTCTTTAATTGTCCCCTTCTTCTCTCGCCTCGGAGATCTGAACAGATGATTTAAATTTATTAATCTTCTTACAGTTTCGTCCTCTTGAATTCCCCAAATAAACACAATTTTACTTCTTCTTCCCAGCCGTTGACTCGACACCGCCGCGTCCCCGTTAGCGGCGTGGTAATTGGGCCGTCAGCGACCTCGGCCTCCTGACTGAGAAACTCTATTGACCAGATCGCTAATCAGATGTGCAATAAAATTAGCGGACAGCATTTCGCATTGATCTTGCTCGCCGGTCCCATTGTTCCGCGTTTGTCTGTAATTCACGATGAAATGTCAGCCGTGAGTCGGTTTGCTGTAGATCTTGCATAATTCAGACCCGGCTGATGAATGGTGTCGGCTTTACGGCTCGTTGTTCAGGCTGAAAACTTGTCACGCATTAATTGCTTCCTCTGGTAAAGATGTGTTGGAAAAAAAAAAGAAGAAGAAAGTCTTTACAGAAATTGTTCCTGTACTGGACTTGATTCAATCTTACCTTTTGATTTCCATAAAACCTATAGTTACTTGGTTGTGCTATAAAATTGCCCAATGTGATCACAAGGTTGTGTAGTATGTATTGTGTGTCTGGAAAACAACATGCTACTGCACCTGTAAAGTATAGTCATGTTAGTAAAAACATTGTTATAGCCTCCCACTTGGGCAAGCAGCTCCTTCATATGGTATTCCTGAAATGCCAAATATAGAACATGCTAAAAATACCAAATAAAATCAATATGCTTTCATGGAGCCATCTTTGGAAAAAAAATTGTTCAAACACATCAATCTATTATTTTTTATGCTTGTATATATCAACTATTAAAGTTTATTGGCGCTATGTTGTATCATAATTCCAGTCATGATAAAAAAATAAAATTCCTTTGATAAAAGGAAATGTTATAATAACTGACCCGAGTCTCATCTGACTGACGCTCACAGATCCCAGTCCAGTGAACCAAACTCCACTTTGTGACGGTAAGGCGGAGAAGCCGTTTCCTTTCCTTATCATGGAGACTCTGTGATTACTTGCAACAGTTCTCTACCGATAAAATGTTAACATTTATCTTGGTTTCCTCAAATGTGGCTTGTGGTTAACAGAAGCGGTGTTCTGCATGACCTCTTATTTACGCCATGTGGTGTGGTAATCCCCAAGTCTTTGTATGACAATTAGACTAAACTTTAAAAAAAGAAAGCAAACCATTTAACACAAACAGTGTTTGCACAGTTACCAGTCCTGGGACTTTATTTCCCTCTCTTTCTGGCTCAAGAAGAACTGCTGCCACTTTTTCTCTCTTAAGGGAATCTGTCACTGACACTAAATGAGCTGTTAGGCTATTCTTGGGCGCCTCTCAGCAGTTCCCATAGCAGGTAGGCTGCTTTAGAATGACATACAAGTAAAGGCAGGACTGTCCTCCAAACAGTGATTGGCTGAGAATGTGGGGTCGGGGTAATAATGACTCCTGCCCCATTAATTTCACAGCTTCAGCCTGAGATGGGGCCTCTTAAAGGTGGCATTATTTAATTAATCATCTCCTCCTGAAGGCTGGTCAGTGGTCACCCTATCTATCTCTCACTATTCCTCTCCAGATGAGTAAAGAGGGCTGTTCATCAAGTCAGAGAAAAAGGAGAAATGGAAGACTTAATTAATGTATTTTTCTTCTTCCTCCCTCTGTCCTTTTTTTTCCCTTCCCTGTCAGACTAATAAAGGCGATGCTTTGGCCAACCGAGTCCAGAACACCCTGGGCTCCTACGAAGAAATGAAAGACCTGCTAACCAGCCACTCCAACCAGAGCCACTTGGTGGGGATCCCCAAAGGCAGCGCCGCCAGCAACAACCAGCAGCCAGCGGCGGGCTCCTCTGCCGACAGACCGGCCACGGAGTCCCAGCTGTTCAACGAGGCCTTGAGAGGAGCAGCGGGCGGTGGAGGAGGTGGAGAAGGAGCAGAGGGGAGCGGGGAGAAGAGAACGTCAGCCTCCATGCAGCCGCCCGCCGTCATCACGGCGTTATCGACGGCCCCGCACCAGAACGCGAAGAAGTCGAGGAGTGTGGAGTGTTTGAAGGGAGGTCAAGCGACGGGCCTGGTGGTCGGGTCAGGGGCGGCGGGGCAAAACGGACAGGGGCCTGCGGCCGCCGCGGCCAGCCGGGGCAAAATGGCTCTTTTAGAGGAGCAGCAGCTGCAAAGGCATGAGGAGCTGTTCAGCTCTCTCAAAGATGAACTGGGTCTGAAAGAGGAGTCCAGCCCTTCTTCCTCGTCTTCATCCTCTTCCTCGTCCTCTTCCAGAAGGCATTCGTCCAAAAGCCATTCCCTAGCAGGTAAATGTTCACAACGTGCCTCAAAAGGAATTGCTGCTCTGATTCTGCTGCATTCAAGAGTCTTTCAGTTTTATGTTTTAAATGTGCATTTAATATCAGATGGTTTTATACTGCAGAAGTTAATGGACTGTTGGATGTATCAGTGTTGTGAAGATATAAACATTGAGCGATACTGTAGATGTGTACCAAACTGCTTAACATTTTTCCAAATATAATCATCATTATAATTCAGGTCTGCTATCCTCTTGCCATTGGCATGTGAGTCCTTTAGTGCAGTGACCAGACAAGGCCCAGTAGGATGGGTTTCTTCTAAAGCTTACTTCACACGGCACAATTTATGACCGGTACCAATTGGTCCATGGACCGGTACCGGTCCGCGGCCTGGGAGTTGGGGACCACTGATTTAGCATGTCAACATACCTCGGTATGTAAATGACCATGTGGCTCTTGGGCCTTGCGGAGAAGCAGACCGGAACTGTTTCAAAGCCAAACTTAAAGTTGGAGCTTCTTATTGGATGCTGAGGGTGGATGACACCAGCCCTCTATGGTCACTTCAGTCCGACTCTGGTTCATTTGCCTAGAAAGTCTGGTTCCTTTACGGAGATGTGAATGTGTAAGTGGACCATAAAATTCAACTCTAAAAACCCAAGCCTCTGTTTGCTTAAAATGTACCAAGTGAACTGGAGGCCGCTCCAAAATCAGGATTCGGACTAAAGCAGAGGGCATTCTGGGTAAATACAACCTAAACAATGGTCTTTTACCAACGACTGAAGAGAAATCCTATAACTGTTAAAATTTGACATTGCGCTGTTCTAGTTTACATTTTGTGAAGGTGAAAGTTGCGCCCGGTGTCTTCTTCTTGGTTATGCACTTCAGTGGTTCGGGGTGCAGCGCCACCGCAGGCGAGGAAGGGAACAGGTTTTTCCAAACTGGTTTGTTTTTTGGCATCAGGTAACCAGTGATGCAGTCTGACCAACTATCAGGTGTGAAAACTCCCCTAAACTAAAGGTCTGTTTCATGTTTTTTTAAATTTTTTGATACACTTAATTAAATGTAGTTTATAATCTGAAATACCTGGAAAATACAGAAAGCCCATTTTCAACTATAGAATTTAACAAATAGAAATCGCGACATACTAAGTATTAAAACCTGAAAGGAAATGTTCTACAGCGATCACGTATTCTTAAAAGCAAACATTACATTTGTAAAACCTTTTTTTTATTGGTTTAAAAAAAAAGTGAGTGCTACAAAAAATTTTTTGCTACAATCAACAGTCTTCTTGTGAAACCAACGTTGCGAAATCGATTAAATCATTTCAGCCCAAATCAAGAGGTTTTGTTGTTTTGTTAATTCGTTCTTAGGAGAGGGTTGACTTTCTCAAGATGTCTAAAAGTACAAGATAGAAATCAAGAAAAGCTTGTACAGATGTGTCTGATTAAAGGTGTAAAATACAAAACATTTCATATCAAAATTCATAATTTGCTGTTTTTGTGTCCTTGCCTGAGTCATGAAGGCTGATTAAATAATTAGTAAAATTTTGAAGGGTTCCAATGATTCAGACCTTCTTGATAAAAATGATTAAAATTAGCATTTATTACAAAACCAGATAATAAGGGTGATTTTGAAAACATCTTAATTCTGTCAAATGTGATTGGCTGTACTGATCTGACTGATCTCTGACGGTGGGTGATCTGCTGGTAGGGTTTGTTGTTCTCAGGTGATTTCTTTTTCTTTGTCTTACAGATGGCGGCAACTTTCGGTCCTCCACTGTAGACGGCTGCCACTTTAAGTCTTCCTCCAGCGTGGAAAATGGCGGCTCTTTCAAAACCTCCCCGTTCGAAAATGAAACAAGTTCCCACCTTTCGTTGTCCTCCTCCCCGCTGGCTTCCACCTCTGTTCTGACGACCCCCACGCCCGGTCTGACCACGCCCACGTCCGGACTGACCACGCCCACGTTCCCACCCGGCTGCCTATCGGGGAAGCCCATCGCTATTCAGCAGAAGCCCACGGCGTACGTTCGACCAATGGACGGCCAGGACCAGGCGCCGAGTGACTCCCCGCAGCTGAAGCCCCCTCCGGTGGCGACAGAGGGGTTCAGCAGCAGCCAATCTTTTGGAGGAACGTCTGGAAACGTGAAGAACAAACTGCCAAAACTGAACCTCAGCCACACGGGAGAGGTAAGAACTTGGAGTTGGTCAACTTTAAAAGAGTCTGTAGACTGAGTTGAGAAAATCATCTTCTTTTCTTTTTTCCACTGAAAAAGCAAATGCAAAACTTTGAGTTTGAAGAACAAAGTAAAACCAGAGGCCTCTGGTCCACTGGTTTTAAGATTTAGGTTTTAGTTTTTATTATACTGTACATAATATGTTAGTAAACTGGTAGGACAGAACAAAACTGAAGCTCCGGACTGAAATGACATGTTGCCAATCGCCCAGAAGCTTCAGCAGAGCATTCGCGATGCAACCGGTGGTTCCTGGGTTGGCTTTACGAGAGATTGATCATTGATTTGCTTTCTATTTTAATCTGTTTACAGTTCTGTTTGCTTTGTTTGGCTCTGTCTAATCTAATTGCAGAAAAATTGTAATAAAAAAAAATCATGATGCCAATTTTGTGTCTTTTATGTTAAGGACAGCCGGTTGGCCCTCTTGATTCAAGAAAAAACTCTGGCGTTCAAGGAAATGGCCGTCTATCAATCGATAAGATTGATCAACTATAAATCAACTCAAAAATAAATTATTTCCAGGCCTACAACTCCTTGGAGGGTCTTTGGAATCTTTTGCTCTTGGCAACCTGTTGCACCAGGATAAGATTTTCCCATCTCTTTAGTTGCACAAGCAACATTGACATAGTCCCACTGGGAAAAACACAAGCAGTGACTCCCAAAGAGATCCTTCCAGACTTGGCAAATCTCACTGTACGTCCTTAAAATATCTGACAGGCCAAGTGAAACAAATTTATATGAGACCTGAAACGTTTTCCACAGATAGACGGTACTAAAGCAAGCTAGTGTTTCTGGGACAGACTGCTATAAACTAGGCGACTTAAGAACCAAAAGTTGTTTAGTCTTTTCATTTCTGAAGCCATAAGTGGACATAAGTGAACAAGCAGCAGAAGAAAAATAGGCTCACAAAAGTCTGGAGATACTTGATCAACACTACCTTGGAAGAGTATATTTTTAAAACTAATCAGGTAAGTGTAATTTTGAGTACTGAAATTACAAACAGCTATCACAGAAGGTCAACATTAAAAACAGTCATCTCTGATACTGGCGGCTATTTTCTTAAAAGCCCGAGGTTTCTCTTGAATCGAGAGGGTAAACTGGCTTTCCTTAACAAAAAGGCGCGACACAGATTGGCATCATGATTTATTCGATCGTCTTACCATTTTCCTGCGTTACGCCTTTCGCTTTCCTGTCAACACATCCTCGCCTTCGTAGCGAAGGAGTCATTTTTAATAGAGAAGTTGACGCTGCACCGTAATGCCGAGTGAGTGCTATCAAGGTGAAACTGTCTACTGCACCATTCCTGCTGAAGCAGACCTCAGAGCAAGCCAAACTCCCCGCATACCAGAAAACTTCAGGCAGAGGTCTGATGACGGGTACAGTCTGTGCTCTGAAAGGAGGACGAAATTTGAAGCCCCTTCACTCTGGATTTACACTGCTACTGCTCTGCAGTCGAACTCCATAACCGTTCAAATGTGGCTCGAATGCTCCAAGTCTAGAAACATTACTTCCAGTGGGAAGGCAGTAATTCTGTCAGTACTCACCAAATATGCCTCCCCCTCAGCTACTTTCCTGACCATCCTTCAATAATGCTATCCCCAGCTGCTCTCAAGGCTCTCTTTACAATATGCAATATATATACATTATATGGGCATTTGCAGATTTCTCTTTAACCCAGATCTGCAGATGTTGCAGATTTGCAACAGCTAAATGCTACATAACTAGTCTTTGCAAGTAATTTGAGCCTGAGAGGGTTAAGCCCAATGATAAAAACATTTTGCATATGACCTGCAGCTTAAAAATCAATGTGCTATCTTTCACTAACCAGACTGTGCAATATGGAGTTGTGAGCGTCACTTCACAACTCGAAGCCGTGTTTATTAGTGAGGGTGTGTGTGTGTGTGTGTGTGTGTGTGTGTGTGTGGATTGTTTGCTCCAGCAGCTTGTCTGAGAGAGGTGGTGAACAGCAGGGTCATGTAAAATAGATCGAATTCAACTGCCTAACCAAAGTTTCACCAAAGGGGTCAGCACTGAGTCGGCTTTAGGTAAAATAAAGCAAAAGTAAACAAATTTGCACAAAAATGTCAGAAAAAAAATAAAGATGATATCATATTTAGACCTATTTAGACAGTTTATCAGCAAAAACAAAGTTGATTTGGGGGTTAGTGATGCTTTAGGTTGGTCTTTCCATTCAGCTTTTGGCTGATTTCTATTAGCTGTGTTTCCATTGACCGTGTAATTGGACAATTTGACATTTCAAAAATAAATGGTCTTTCTGGAAAAACTTAAATTTTGAAAAAACCGTCGGCCGATGGATGAGACAGGAATTTTTCAAGCCATATCAAAATTGTTTTTTTGTGTTTTTTTTTACACTGCAACGGAAACTCAATTTCCTCTACAACTACAAACGTTGCCACTGGCACAAACCACGAAGAAGAATGCAGCAGACAGGAAGTAGACGTGGGATGAGTTTTTTTCGGAGAACTTACCAGATGAACGAACTTATTCATGTGTGAATTCAATTGCATTTCTCGTCTTAATGGAAACGCTGCAATTGTGAAATTGCTTGGGGGAGTGGGGTGGGGGGGTTTGATGCTACAGCAGCACCGAAAGAGTTTTGCGGACATTTGTAATGGAAACACAGCTGGTGCCGTGGCGCAGGCACAAGATTCATACGCCGAGTGAGAATTTCAATAACCCGACTTTAGCAGGTTCTGCTAAAGCCGCTCCGCTGATCTACAACACACAGGTCTGCCACTCATTAGATATAGGTCTGCACTGCTGAGAAAGGTTAGTGCCAGAATCACAGAACAACAAAAAAAAAAAGTCTGTTTCTCTTCAAATTAGATTTTTATTTAATGGATCAGTTAGAAAACACAGATCAAGCACCGTAAACAGCCAACCAAGACCCACTTCGCCTGGATGTAAACAAATTAGCAAGTTTACAAATATGTCATTCACATTCACATCTTACTGCTAATTTATAATCTGTATCATTTTACACCCAATTATGAATTCAAATTTAAAAAAAAAGCCCCCATCGTAATACAGACATTTTCAGAGTGCAGGAACAGACTCCTCCTAATTTAACCCCTTCAATTATTCATGAGCATCTGCTTTAGCTGGTTAACAGTGACACGTACTGTCAGTCTGCTTCTGATGTCACAAGTCCTGAGCGCATGTTTGCATTTTTTTAGACTCACACTCCCCACCCCCACGTATTGTCTGTCCATCTCTGCATCTCTTTCTCTCTCTCTCTTTCTTTCTTCCCTTCTTAAAGCAGTAGGAGATGCGGGTTTTGATGATGATGCGCCTGTACGCGTGTGTGTGTGTGTGCTGCGTGAGACTCGTTGACAGGCGAGCAGCCATCCATATCGAGAAAGCCAGCTGTTCCTATGCTTTGATAGGACAGATCTCTATGTGTGTGTGTGTGTGTGCAGCGCTGTAAATGAGCCTGAGCTGGAACTCTGAGCATATGGCACTAAGAGGGAGATGGAAGGACAAACAGTGGAGGAAGACGAGAGGAATTGAAATATAGTTTACTTTCATGGCCACAAGTGTTTTTGGGGGCTTGGTGGCATCGATAGCGTCCGGGAGGGAAGGTGTTGGACTCGATTTGCACTGAAGGTGAAGGGAAGGAGATGAGGAAGAGAGAGACAGACAATGACTGGCTGATTACGGCGCCTTATCACGGCTGTATTTGTTCTAGTTAGATGAGTTCCTGGATGCGTTCTGCAGCTTAAATAGCAAAAGAGCAGCGTGTCGCAGGGCAGAGCTTTGTGAACCAGAAACAGATGGGACACTTCAATTGCTTCTGCTTCATGCATCCTCTCCGTAGAGAGGCCATTTAAATGTTGAGACCGTCAGGGATATTTTAATATTAGACTAAGCATGTTTTCACACCTGATAGTCCGGTAGACTATGTTTCAAAAAAAGCAATGTTTGTTACATTTTCACCTGATGTGGTTCACTTTCACACACCGCTGTCAAAAAAAAAACAAAAAACAACGCTTTGAAAAACCTGTTCCCCTCCTCGTCTGTGGTGGCGCTGCACCAAGAACTACTAGAGGAAACGACACACAAAAAAAACACTGTGCGCAGTTTCCTTCTTCATCAGATGGAAATTAAAATGTAGTGGTGTCAGATCAGATGTTAGCCGTTGCAGGACTTTTTTCCTGCTAGCCCTAAACTCGCATGTTTGTTTTGGTTGTATTTACCCATAATGCCCTGCGCTGTAGTCTGCTTCCTGGTTTTGCTTGACATTCACACACCAGAGTTCACTTGAACCGCTCTAGTTCAGGTTAAAAATTGCTTATTGCACAGAAAATACTGCACCAAGTTCATGTCATCTTCCCATAATGCATTGCAACGTAAACAACATAGCGATGACTGTGTGACAGTATTTTATTTCAGCTGAATTGCCTTTGGATTCTGCAGCCGCCTAACGATGCAAAGCACCAGAAGATCTTGAACTGAATGACTCCAAACATGTATCCAAAGAAACCTTTGAAGTGGCCTAGTCCAAGGCTGGATCCAAATGAGACATTGTGGCATGGCCTTAAACAAACTGTGCTCAAAATCTCCTCTTTGTGTCTGAATGTAAACAGTGATGCAGATAATGATAAATGAGTCAGAAACAAGGCAGTTCAAAGGGCTTTACATGGAAAGATAAAAATGGAATTATGAAACAATCAATAAACGATACATTTTGTCAAATACCATAATATAAATCAAGAACAATCATCAAACATACATACAATGTGTTGATTAGTGTTCAATTTATTATTTACCAAATGCAAACAAAAACAACCAAAGCCAGTCAATAGGTTCATGACTTCCCAGGATGGTTCTGATAGCATTTTTCCCCCTTAATTATTGAAAACATAATTCAACTAAAGCTTCCCTCAGGTTATCTCTGTCTGGTTTTAAGATGTGTTTGGTGTTCTGTAACACTGA